TGGAAGGTGTCCCTGCCTGTGGCAGGGGTTGGAGCTGGAGGAGCTTTAAGCTCCCTTCCAACACAAACGTGTCTATGAAAACAGGGTTGAGAAGATGCTCACAGAGCAAGGGGATCAATATTAGTTGCAGACAACAGCACCCTTTACTGGAGAAGATGGCAGCTTTGTTTCCTAACCAACACAACAGACATTGAGAGCTCTCCAGGTCTGCAGAGAAATCAGTCGCAGCTCATGTTTGCAACGTAACTTAAACGTTTGTATGCTCTGAAGTTAATTACAAAACTCTTCAGAAGGAAAATACATTTTAAGCTTATATAGAGCTCTTACTTATTCTCACACTTCTCTAAGTCTTTTTTCTTTTTTTCTTCCTTCTTTTCATGATGCTATTGGCCTTTCCCACTTCTGTTTTAAATGAATTGCCAATGAGGCAGGCTGAAGTCATAGTGTCTTTATTTAGTCTCTGGCTTTAAGGCCAAATCCCAAATGTTCTTTAGAAAGTTACTTGTATGCAAGGTCTTTTTGTTTAGGCGTTGTTGAATTTAGCACATTTATTATTTCATCTTAATCTTTGTAAAAATACATCTAGAACTATTGCAGGTAGAGAAATAATCACATTTGAGCATGGTTTCAACTCACAGAACTCAAAGCAATACCACCAATCCCTGAAAAGCCTTTATATAAAGAGGGATTTGGGTCTATTCATTGCCCTTCTCAGGGCACACTTCATGTCCTTGCTCCTGAGGCTGTAGATGAGGGGGTTCAGCATTGGGGTTACAATGGTGTAAAACATTGCAACCACTTTGTCCCTATCCTGTGGAGACCTTGACTTGGGATTCATGTACATGCAGATGGCTGTCCCATAGAATATGGTTACCACTGTCAGGTGGCATCCACAGGTGGAAAAGGCCTTAGATTTCACATGTGCAGATTGCATCTTCAGGATGGTGGAAAGGATGTAGGCGTAGGAGGTGATGATCAGAAGAAAGGGGATGAAGACAATGAGGATGCTGAAGATGAAGATGACCGACTCCAGGAGGGCAGTGTCAGCACAGGCCAAGGCCAGCACTGCTGTAACTTCGCAGAAGTAATGGTTCAAGGTGTGAGGTCCACAGAAGGGTAGATGCAAAGTGAGGCTGTTGACTACCATGGAGCTCAGCAGGCTGCTGGCCCAGGAAGCCATGACCATGCGAGTGCAAGTCTTCCTGTTTACAACAGTGGTGTAGAGCAAGGGGTGACATATTGCCATATATCGATCATAGGCCATGACCCCAAGCAGGAAACACTCTGTTATGCCAAAAGCCAGGGAGAAATACATCTGAGCAGCACATCTAGAGAAGGAGATGGTCCTCTTCTCGGTCAAGAGGTTCACCAGCATCTGGGGGATGTTGCTGGAGACGTAACAGATGTCTAAGAAAGACAGGTTGGCAAGGAAAAAGTACATAGGTGACTGCAGCTGGCAATCAGCTCTAAACACTGCAATGATCATCATGTTCCCGACAACTGTGAGAAGATAAAAAACCAGGAACACTATGAAAAGAACAGTCTGTATCCTTGGCTGGGAGGAGAGGCCTTGAAAGATGAATTCTGTCACTATGCTTTGGTTTTCCTTGGCCATTATTATTAGGGTGGTTTAACTGTCAAGATAAGAAATAGTAACAAAGTCAACTTAAATCTGCTGCAAGATAAGTGTAACTAGAGCTCTGAAGGAGAGAGAATGTAGAAAACAATGTACAAGACACAAAATACTATCTATTTTATATTATGTATCGTGGTGACCAGAGAAATGAGAACATGTTGAGTAAGTTTTCTCATGGTACATACAGCTGATCACGTTGGTTGCAGTCTAAGCACACAGATTTAACAGAAGAATGCCTAATTTATACACATTTGAATGCTCAACAAAGTTACTATCCTCTTTAGAAATAAAATTCCATGTTAGATAAAAAACTATGTGTTAAAATCCCAGTTCTTGATATCCTTTCTTAACATGAGAAGAAACATGGAATAGACTCCTAGAGTGAACCAATCGTTCAGACAGTCTCATCATGACACACATCTACTCTTTTGGACAAATACCCATAGAGCTGTACCCTTTTCCTGCAATAAAACCTAAATTCAGCTCACAGACCACATCTAGCAAATTAAATATGTTCAACCACCTTAATGTGTATCTAGGATCTTACGGCATTCTCATCACCATAGCTCCTAATGTTCATATTCTGTTCTTACACTGTGCTGGTTTAAGGCTTTACTATGAGATGAAAGTTTCTGAGTAGTATGTGGTCACAGCTGTTGGATCCTGAATCTTCATGAAGTAAAAGGCGAGTAGCAGAACGCCTACATTAATAATGCTGTGGAAGATACTCTTAAATGTCACTTGATAGGCTGCTTGGTATCCGAGACATCTGAAGGCGGCTGTCACATTTGATGCAGGGATGTTGCAGGGCTTGCATTCCTTCTCTGGAATAAAAATTGGACAAATGACAGGTCACACCAGGATGTCTCAAGTGCTACCAGGCTGTTAATGCTGAACAAAATACTTGGATGCCTACTTGATACAGTCAGTGGACTCTAAAGGGCAATTCAGACCACCAGATAGTTGGTGATAACTTTAACTCAACTTCTCAGCTGTTCCTGAGAACCTGAATAGCCTCATGGAGTTAGGCTTGGCACCTGATTTATTCCTCACTCATGACAGAGATTTAGACGTATGGCTTACAGATAAATGCTTATATGTAGGTGTCTAAATCTGATGCCTTAAGCTGAAACTGAATCCTACCCTGTGTTTTTAAGACTAAGCAGACTCTCACAACCTGAATGAGCAGTAATGCCGTCAAGGGAAAATATTGCAAAATGAAGCATCTTTCCCAAACAGAAACTGTTCTGGAAGGGAGGGCAAGAAATAATCCTAAAAAGCTCATTTCAAGGAGGCAGTTTGCCTCAGCCCGAGGTTACTGTCTCAGGTAGGTGAGATGGCTGAGCTACCACCCTAGTCCATACAGCTGGAGGACTCTGTCTCCGCTGCAGCTCAGACTACTCAGCACCTATCCCTTGGTCAGTCACAGCAGGCACATCCCTCCTGTCTTGAAAGGAAGGATTAAGGTACCAAAACATTGGCATCTCTTGCCAATTTAGGTACTGTGATATCCAAGACACCAGTATGGGACTAGCACGTGTGATATAAGAGCTGCAGAAGACTTGTAGCAACCAGCTTTTCACTGGCAAATATGGCAACAGCTCACATGGAAACACCTAAATTTCACCGAGATGGGTCTAATCCCTAATGTTTAATGAGATTAATCCAATTCTTATTCAACACATGATCTTGCTAGACTAGGTGGACTCTATCAGTTATGGTGTCAACAAGAAGAACCTGAATAATATGAAATCCAGCATCGTGCTTAAAATGGATGTAGAACTTGAGAGACATCTTTCATTTAAACACATATATACACAGCCATTTTAAAGCCTGTGCCAGCATAAAAAGCTACATTGAACTTCTGATTCTGTTCAGTCATTTCTAATTTACTTCACTACACTGTGCAGGCAAAGAACAATTTTTGCCTTCAGTAAACCAGTTATGGCAATGTTTCTGATGAATTTCATAGTGCATGAAACGACATCCTTCAGGATCTGAAAAAGCCTCTGGGAGGGAGAAGGGAAATGTAGTCCAGCAATAGTATAAATAACTAGAGTGGGATTTTATATAGGGTTTAGTTTTATAAATACTTTGGAGTATCTAGGACAAAAAGGAATCTAGAGGCATCATCCAGGACATGAGAAGTTCCATGGACTTGAGATCTGTGCTTCTATATCATTTACCTACTTCTGAAAATCCTCTCTTTATATTATCAACTTTAGTAGATCACACAAGCTCTGAACTTTACATCTTTTGATCTCAAAGCAGTTTGAAGGATGAGGGTCGTTTAGGTTTTACAGGTGAGAAACAGTAGACAAAAATAAGCTAAGAACTTTGCTCAAGGCTGAGAGACGTTTCTTAGAGAAACCATTATCATATCACAGCTTATCTATCAGCAGTGACAAACGTATCTTGGACCTCTGTGAATTCTCATATAGATCAAAATACCTTGAAATCATCCTGAGACATCTCTGTTCAGGTTTTGTAAAGTTAAAGAATGTTTCTTCTGTACCTGAAAAAGTTGAATCTGCAACAAGGTTGAAGCTCATCCAGGAATGGGAATACTGAGAGCAGAATCCACCAAATTGCAGACACCCTCCCCAGTCTCAAGAAATGTGAGATATTTGTAGATAAAGAAATAAATGCGGAGTGGTTTAGTCCTTCACAAGGATTTAACTCATGCAGAGTGATAGCAAACTAGTGGAAGAATTGAGATTACATTTCAGATTTTCCCTTTTGAGACACCATAACTCATTTTAAAGGCCGAAGGGAAGTGGTCCCAGAGGTAACATTGCAATTACTTCTTCTAAGCACAAGCCTAAATATACTTCTAAGTCACAAACAATTCTAGTTGCATTAAAAGTTGTTAAAATTGCCTGTTGTCTGTTCAAGACTTGCTGAACTGTGTGTTATGCTTCAAATCTCAAGAGATCAAATATTTTAGTAGATTTGGGGAGTTCAAAGACGATTGTCTAAACATGGAATTTTATCTAGTTATTCCTATTTTGTGCCAAATGACTTCTGTGAGGGTAAAGCACACCAATACTCTGATTTTGGGCTGAAGACATCAGGAAATGCAGAATCTGATACATCTCATAATGTGAAATCCTCGCCAGATGTCCTAAATTAGTTATCTAGGTCTAAGCCACTAACTTTCTGTATAGTTAACAAGGAAAATAGCCATTTTCAGAGCACAAGGGGCACTTCCTCCATATTCAGCTCAGAGGAATCAGCATTTCTAGACAGTAGTTGATCTCTTTGTCAGCAGAGAGGAGGATAAATACCTATATTTGATGAAATGACTTGCCAAGGGCCAGCGGGGTGGGAAGGCAGTGGTGGGACGGACAAGCTAGATAGTCTCCCCTGGCACCAGCTATTCATCTCTTTCCCATCCATCTCTTTCCCGATCCCTCTGCCTGGACCCAAAATGGACACCTCAGGAAGTCAGAAGAGTTTCTGAGGGAACTGCATAGGATTCAGCAAATAAATATAAATGTAAATGTAAATGTAAATATAAATAT